AACTTGTAATGATGTAGCTCAGTCAATTCTCCACCGATTTACAAGAAAAAAAATGCGCCAGAATTGCATAGATATTCTCTATTCAAATGTATAAAAATCTACAATGTGTCTGATTTTGGTGGCTATGCAGCACCTATTAGCCCAATGTTGCCTACTCGAGCTATCAGCTTCACAATGGATAGGATTTTGGCTTAGAATTGCAGAGACTAAATAACCGATTAATATGTGGCTTCAATCCTACGGGTCCAGAATTTTAATTACTACCTCATAACTATGTTAAAGTGCCCATTCTTAGGGGTGATCTCGACATAGGGGCCACAAATAAAAATTCTGAATCCGTAGATCGATTAGAATTCAAATTCTAAGTAATATCCTCCTACAAACCATGCTCATACGTGTTGTGGTTGGAAAGCTATAGTCCAATCTCTCCAGAGTGCCAAATTTGGCAGGGAAAACAAGCTGATTTCGCATTTTTGGAGCAATAAATAAAATTTCTACATGGAAAACTCTCTCAGTGGATTCAATCACATCATTCCCTCAAACCCAGTGCAAAAAATATATTGAATTGGTGTTGTGGAAGGTACAAAGTCCATGTCTCAAGAAATTGGCCCTGTGACGCTATGTCACGGCATGTCACTGGTCATCACACTTACCAAGGATTGTGCAACACCACTAAAAGAGAACAATACAGCTGCAGTTAATCTGACTAATAACTATCGTTTTTGGTTTCTTCGCTTCCCAGGTGAGCTGTAACAATGGATGCCCCAGGATTCATCATTTTCGACACCGGTTCCTCGTTAAGTAAATTATTCGGTGCGATGTTAACCTCAGGTATCTTTACCAAAATAATGGTGACTGTGGATATTGGAAATGTTACTAAAGTTACAAGATGTTTCGCCCTACCAAGGTAACGGGTTGACGGAAAAAAGAGTCGAAAAATACATCAAAAAATCATCTCGACGCTTCAGTCCTTCTTGAAATCGACCCTGGTAACTTGAAGTGGAAGTTGAATTTTACCGCCTTCGCCTAACACAGTCGGAGTAACGACGGTGGTCGTTTGCCAGAATATCTCCTTCTTGGAAGGAGCGAAGCGGAAAGACTCGATCAAGAGTGACAGCACGATCTCTATAGCACAGCCAGAAAAAAAGGTTTAACGACTATAAGGAAAGAGTTGCAACGTCACTCGGACGACATACTTATCTCAATTTGCGAAAACTTGAAGCCGCTATGGAAATTTTGGTGAAGCGATCGTGTAGAGAAGAAACGAACACGTACACGCAAGCTCGTCCTCCCCCCATAAACGTCATCCTACGAGAAATAATGTTATAATCAAAGAAGAACGGAATAATTGGACGACGAACAGATGAGAATAGATTCCTGGGACATGTGCATCAGAGACAGATGAGGGAAGAGGGGAAAGCCATCTCTCCGGGATCCATTCAAGCGAGTCAGGGCCCCAAATGTCTGGGTTTCGGTTGGCTCCAATAATCGATATCATGACATTTGTGTTATTCGGGACCAGTATTTCGTGGATGAGTTTTCCGTTGACACCTTCCAAGGGTTTAGAGAGAGGCAAGACAATATCTCGGCGCGTCCTAGTAAGGATTCTGTTGGAGAGAATTAAAAATTGGAGAGAGGACTTGCACGTACGTTCTGGGGAGGAATGGTACGGGAGGGTAAAGACGAAGAGTTTCTCTGACAACGGCATCGAGATACGGGAGGTGCGATGTCAGTTCATCGTAAGGGAGGTCTCCTCTTTCGGCGCGGACCTCGGTGACCTCGCGACGCAATTTCTCTTGGATGTCTGGATGCTGCGATAGTAAGTGGAGTATACGAGATAGTGCGCTCGACGTCGTGTCCACCGCAGCGAATGTCAAAGCTCTTATGAAATTAAGGGGTTAGAAACGGTCATTGCGACACACGACAGGGAATACACACGATACTTGCGCAATAAGTTCATCATCTTCAAGCCTATCCTCCTCTGAGGCATCCATATTGGCTCTTACTAACGACGTCAATTAAAAAGGTTCAAAGATAATTCAAGTGACGTACGTAGCATGCTCATGATGTCCTTACCCTGCCCGATCTGCCTTGCCACGACATCGTCCCCATCCAACAACGCCTTCTTCTTCGATTCGAATATTTCCAAGGATGTCTTGTGCATAGCATCTACAATGTCGCGCACATCGTGCATGTTCTTCCACGGAAGTACGTCGATTATGAAGCGGCGGAATCGTGGGCTACCAATCTTGGCCATATGGAACAAGTATGCTTGGACGAGCGAGGTCTTTAGCAAAGCCGGCCTGAAGTGACTTGAGCTCCGTCGTTTTATATGAAGATTTCGAGCATGCTTACCCTAAATGTTTCAGTGCCGAACTATATGGATTTGGGGTGACGTTTTCTGCAAGAGTATCAAAGGAGTATCCAAATCCACTTTGACCGATTAGTTCAAGCATTGTTCGACCCATCCACGAGATCATGTCAATCTAAAATATATTGAGGACACGGCGAAGGTCTCGGTATTGCAACTTACCTCTTGAGGGCCGTTGCTGACCTTCTTCGCAATAGAGTCTCGGAGCTGAAGTAACATTCCAGTTTGTATAAATATATCAACAACCTGATACTGACCTGATAAATCACACGATAGAAGGTGGGTACTGGGGCAACGTTCAACAACATGGCGACGTCAGGAAAACACGACTGTTCTACTAACCCATTACACGGATGTTCGTGACAGAGAATACTGGGTTGAACATCTTTCTTTGCCGGCGATGATAATCCCCTAGAATAAATCAAAACGGCGAGCTTATAAAGCGTATCTACATCACATACCGAGAGTCGACATCAAAGCTTTACCGAAGATCAGAAGGTTGCCTCTGGTGGCGAAAGTTCGTCAGTGATAGAACCGTAAATCAGAAGGAGAATAACTACTGAATAAATGCCGATGGTTCTTCGTAGACATATTGATCCTGCTTGCTGTGAGCGAAGATAGGTTATTACAACATGCAGCTGACCTTGACAACGATGTGATGCAAAGCCTTTGGATCGTATACATATAACTGGCTTTCCTATGTTGTTTAAACAGGGTGTTAGATTGTACTCTGCCCTCTAAGGTTAGTTGACGCACGCCAAACAGAGCCTTGACCTTTACAACCCCTCCGTCTGATATGCCTCGTTCACTTCTGTAATAAATACAAGACGTAGCACTTACACTTCGCTGCAATCTCCTTGTGGAACTCCCAACCGTGAGTCGTAAAAAGCTGTCGATAATTTCCTAAATAAATGCTCAGGGGTGCTTCGTTTCGCGAGGATAAATATCGCACCTTTGAAAAACGATGGAGAGGGAGGAGCCGGGATGTTATCCAGAGATGTCTTGACGACGTACTGGCGGACTATTCGCCAGAACGCGAAAGATACGCCGTATATAAGTATCACTTGAAAAATCAGATAGAGCATGGCGAAGGAAGCGCGGGTTGATATGTAGTCGGAAGGAGCATCTGCCTAGCATATATAGCATCGCTCATCCAGAGGCGAGAAACAAAAGAGGCACGAGAGGATTACTTCAGCGAATATCCACCGGCTAGATGACACAGTTATGAGTACGTTGGTACAAGCCCAGCTGAGAATATGAATAAGGATTCATAAGCTTTGTGGGGCGAGGGGAAAGGATTACCACCAAATGAAGAAGGATGGAAGGACAAAAAGGCGGACGTGGGGACCCGTCTTTGTCAGGTAACCATTCCTTTGAGCTTCCGACCAATCCCGCATGTGAGTTCTACGAGATGGTTATTACGCTGATTGATCCCATGAGACGTTGTTTGTATACATACAAGGTCCAGAAAGTGCAAAAGCCCGCGGTGAATGTCGTTCCCACTCTTTGATGTCCTTTTTGGAAAGAAGCACCACGTTATCACCCCCGGTAGCCGCCCATATTACTTATCGAAGTGGAGAGGGTCCGAGATACACCCTTGGGACTTCTGTTCTTCGTTGGTGGCCTGAAATGGCAATGGGTGGTTGCTGCACATACCTGGACAGCGTTTTTGAGGTGGGGGAATGAGGGAGGCTGAAAGCTAATGAAGATGAGGATTCCAATGTCATCCTTCGGCGCTCCAAGCCCACCTGGCATTTGTCAGTCCGCTGGACTCCACCAACGTTGATTGAAGTGACAGTGTTTACCGACGTCGACTGTCGATGATGGGGATCCCTTCATCCGTCTTGATTATTCGCACCTGAGTAATTATCTCTCGGTTGATGTGTCATTTATCGGTATGCGAGTTGTATTGAGGCCTGTTCCCCGCGGCTGAGATATGTTTGCGATGAGCGGGTAGAATTTTGTGCCCGTTCGTTATGTAAATTTCTCACCGGGGTTGAAAATCAGTGTCACACTTGCGTGATGTCGAGATGATACTGAAGTCACGCCGTCTCCTCGTCCAACAAGGCTTCCGATACAACTCTCCAGCTTCCAATTCACAGATCCACTACTTGCAAAAGTGTATACTTTTACTAAGGTTACCATAGGTGTTGCTGTTCAGTCATCTTACGTCGTGCATACTAGGTTTTTAACATCAACGACCGTGGCGTCATCCATCGAATCCAACGCCGGCGGAGGTGGTCGTGCAGGACGAAAATCCAAAAGGTCGGATCGTGTTTCTACACGCGACGGGCAAGGCGACGGCGTAAGGAAGGCATGGCCTAAGAAAGTAGCTTCTCCAAAGGTCGATGGGAATAAGATCCGTCCAACACATTGTAAGTTGGGATCTTCTTCACACCCACTCTGTTTTTGATCCCCTCAAACAGTTCTCGCTCTCCCTCTCGTAAGTCCTATCACTCCCTTACTTACGAACAACTCTATTCAACTCGACGAAGAACAACCACCCCACTCTACGCGCCAAAATCGGCACCTTTCAAAATGCATTACTAGCACAAGGGCGTCCCAACCCTCAAGTTCCCGGACCGTCGACACGCATTGGCGGGCTCGACAAATCCATCGTGATCGACCCAAGAAGGCTACATCTAACTCTCGGCGTGATGGCGCTCGAGGCCGACAATTCAGATCCAAGCCCATCCACCACACCAACCAAGAAAACCCCACAAACCGCACTCGCACTCCTCGCTTCCCTCCGCCCACATATCCTAGACATCCTCAACGGCGATGAGGGCGTGAAAGTAACATTAAACGAGATGGGGTGGTTCCCTGAAGGCGGCAAGGGCAAGAACGTGCTGTTTTTCGGACCTGGGAGTGTTGAAGACCAGAAGCTGTGGGCTGTCTCTGGTAAATATCTCCGTGTATTCTTGGGTACTAGTTGATTCTGGTGTTAGATCTCATACATCAAAAGTTCAAACTAGAAGGATACATCACCGATACGCGACCACTCAAAGTTTGTCTTTTCTGGTTTTCCATCCATAAGCCTAGTACTCACGTTTCCAGCTACATTGCACCATCCTCAACACGAGCCATCGAAAACCGCGGAACTTTAGACTAGGATTGGACATTGAGGATGTTTTGGTGAGCGACGCTATGCGGAAATTATCGGCAGGCGATGCGTCGGAAACGCTAGCGAACGCTGGGAACGTGAAAGTCGACTCTTTGGGGACGTACGATGTGCGTGAGGTTCAGTTATGGGTTATGGGGAGCCATGGACCTGATAATGAGTATGTGAGCTGTGGTGGCATTTCATTGTCGTAATTACTACTCTGACAGCGTTTGAAATTTCTTAACTATGCTGAACGCTTTGCGGGGGCATCATGATTCAAGTCAAACTTTACTGGCATTTACAAGAAGCAAAAGTCATCTGAAACGTTCTGCCTATCCGATTCTGTTATCAGACTGCAGCTAGTACTACGTGAAGACTCGACCCGTTCACGTCGGGGAAGGAGGATGTCTTTTAGTGAATAATAATGACTCACAGCGCACGCGTCACCGGTACCTCACCTGCTAGAACTGAGTAGAAGGCCCACCACCTCGTCACTGAGCGATTTTTTAAACAACATGGTGACCAATCATTGCGTGGTTTTTTGGATGATGCCCTTTGTCAGCGACTCTTGGCGCTGACGCACAAATGCCTCAACTTACCCATTTCGGCAAATTTCATAACACCCCAGAAAACTATAAAGGGGAACGACGGCGTTTGGGTATTTCATCATTCATACTCAAGCTACCAGTTACTAGACCTCCAGAAGACATCATGCTCTTTGTGAGTACATCGGTTACGATCTTTTGAATATGCCTAACTTTCTTGCGATTTAGAATACCTTCACCCCTATCTCTCGAGTTTCTTCTACAGGATGCTCCTGCACGTCGTGCAAGTGCACCAGGTAAGCCTAAATTACTTATTTTTTTTGGAGATTTTGATGTCTGATTTATGTTTCTTGTAGCTGCACCTGCGGGACCGCCCCTGTTAACGAGGCAGGATGTGGAAGCACAACCTGCAATTGCACCAAGTGAGTCGCTGCTTTGTCGGTGGAAGACTAGTTATAATTACTGATGAATTTCATTCAGCTGCGCGTGCAAGCCTGAGGAATGCAAGTGCTAAGTGGACAGAGTATAGTACCCGCTCTGGACATCCGAAGGCATGGCTTGAGGAATTTTCATAGCAGAAACCCGTCGAATTTTTGCAGTAGAATTTTTGTAGTAGTATGTAATAAAGTGATCATAATGGTTGGCTTGTGACGAACGCGGTAGTCTGCAAAAACACTTTAGATCTTCTTATCTCCAATCAGGGTTACCCGACAATCGACCTGGACCCGATAATAATGAGCATGTGAGCTGTGGTGGCATTTCGTTGTCGGAAGGAAATTATAGTGAACGCTTTCCGGAGAGCATCATGGCATGAATGTACAAGAAGCAAAAGTCATCTACGCGAAAACTCAACGAAACGTTCTGCCCAAGTATAAGAAGTCAAAAGCGTCTGTTGCGTGAATTATTAGTACAAGCCGGATTGCGGTACAAATGAAGGCAATACACTGACATGGTAATAACAGCTGTCATCGTCAGAAAATTGAGGCAAAGCATTGGGTTTTGCTTTGAGGGGAACCCGCAGTCTCTGTATATTCGGAGGTGAGATATCTGGGAATATTCGGGCAGGGGGGGGAGTGCGCACAGGTGATACGATGGTGTGTTTTCGCCTCAAAGTCAAGCCTGTCTTGTTGAGAATATTATCAATCCCTTGCTTCTTCAAGAATTCGGAAAACGGCTTGGAATTATCATAGAGAGTGTCAACGACATCAGCGAGGATGTACAGCTTGGTCTTCATATCATCTAAGCAGAGTAAGCAATGACCTGCAAAGTAATCGCGTAATCAGTCTGGACGTACTGAAATCCATGTGATTCCACTCCGCGCCCTCGTGATAAGGTAAGAATTGGACTGTCCGGCCACGACAATTATTAAAGGCTTACCTGCTTTACTTTATTCCACAGACTATCCATAAGCTTAGTGTTAACCGATTCACCTGCCCCGGAAACGCGGCCGTTGGCTTGGACCATGAACCAATTCATGAAATACCCGACGATAGCAGCAGTGCGATTATCACAGAGCAAAGGGGACCAGGACATTAAAACGTTATTCAGACCTACATAATTGACGTCGATGATATTTGAAACATCGATGCGGTCGAAACGGATGCTCGAAGGGATGCCGTCCGCAGTCAACGAGCCGTCTCGAATTTTGCACGCAAGGTCGCATGCATCGAGCATCTGGACGAAGAAGGATGTTGACGTAGTTTGTAATCTATCAGCCACCCCACGCAGCTGTTCAGAGAGGAAAAAGTAGAGGCAGCCGTAAATGTCTTCGGCGTTGGCTCCGTGTGCTTTCCCGACGTTCACCACATCCCCTATGCTGTCCAACAATTACGCAATGCTGTTTCTGAAGAAGAATATGGACTTACTCCCAACCTTCCAATGGGTCAGCGTAATCGGATTCAAACCACCCCCCTTCGAGCGAAAAAAGAGAGAGGTTTGGGGCGTTGAAATGGGCGGTTGGGGCCCCGCAGGGAAGAACAAGGCCAAATCGGCGGAATTGTCGGAATGCGACGCGATGTGATGGTCGCAGTGCTGCGTACATTCTATCACGGTAATCTCCACGGCTTGGTGCATTTCTCACTTTGTCGTATTGGTTTTGGATATCTTGCACCGAGAAAGAGGTGGAGTTGTAATGCCCGAGATAAATACACATCGGTTTAGTTATGGTACATCTTAGCGATGAATTTTGGCCAAGAGGAATGACTAGGGATCCAAACCCTTGATCGTAGGCTCGTTTCATCCATGAGGTAATGATTGCGGAGATTGAGATACGATACTCAGCAGGCATTAACATCGAGTACCAGAAGTGTAGGGCGATATCGGCCGCCATAGCTTTGTCCGCAGTGGTTCCTAAGATAAGGAGTATGACGATATTGCGACAAACGATTGGCACGTTGTGGTCGTTCAATAGGATTTCGAGGTTCCCAGAGTAGTTGGACGGAAGACAATTTAGAGTGCGCACGACGTGCCGAAGATCTCTAGACGCTGAAACATGACTTCAGCCTCGCGATAAAAGAGTGTCAGAAATACGGACCAATGAATGCCAGGAAAAAATCCTTCGTCGCATTGTTCTCGTTGTCGGGGAGGTTGACTATGTCAATGGCGGGAGTGTTGCCCCATCTACAAATTGTAGATTAAAAGTCCATCATTAGATAGGCGGAGCAATGAGCATACAACGAAATGCCCTGTGATAAAGCGGACCACTCATGGCCTCCTTCCACAGGCCCTCCCACGATAAATGAAGGTAAGCGCTTTTCAACAGTCCAGCTAGGCCGCCAATTCGTGGAACGCAGTGCGTGCTTGCAGTCTAAGAATTGCAACAGATTGAGTACAACACTGGAGGTAGGCACTGAGAGATACCTTTCTTATGCCGGTGCCAGTGGGTCGTCTGGCAATCCTACACAAAAGGTCGGGGAAGCAAAACGACGACTAAGCAGTAAAGAGGATTACGCACTTTCGAACAATATGACACGAGTTTGCACGCGCTGCACGCCATCGTCCCTGGATTCCTGCAAGCATGATAGAGCTTCGGCTCGACGTTGGCACAGGGCAAAACAATTGGATGAGCATATTTTGGATTTGACACTTTCGTCAACTTCTGAAGGCAGTCATCCATGGCCTTCGAGTTGAAGAGCTCGAGGTTGAGAGGTGATCCACTATCGTTCATGTGGATCACTTGCTAAGAATGGAGGTGAAAAGAGACGACAAGAATGGAATCAAGTGGGGAGGTCCTAGACTCTATAAACACTTGTGCCTCAAGGCGGCCTGCAGGTTTGCCGCAGAGTGTTGTGAGTCCAACCTCGTACGCAATCTAGGCAAAGATCGAGCGCCGAGACTGCTCGCCTTGTAAAGGACAAGCCTATTAGTATATATTTTGAGGGGAAACAATAGAAGACTTGCCACTCGTCTAAGGCGTGTTCTGAGCGTTTTGATATCCCTCTGACCTCTGTTCACCCTTCAATGCCTGACATCTGTGCAGGTCGAAGTCAGCGCTATATTCGCACTCAGAGAAAGATTAGTGAGAACCTGAACAGTCCCACAACTGTGTGGACACTGTTGGTGGAAAGACATGAACGGCCCGAGAAGTGCTGGAAGAAGCGACGGAATATGCCAGTACCAGGATCTCGGTTGTACAGGCGCGCAGTGGAGATTTACGGACAGATTTGACACTAGACCTGTAGGATGGGGTGAATAACCGCTCAGGTGACCGTATTCGAAAAGCCTAACCTCGTTAAACTCATGGATCGTTCAACCGTGGCATCCAAGTGACATCGATGTGCTCCCCCGTGTTGCTCCCGTGCCCCATCTTCCAGTGCTTTGCTTTAATTTGCGTCAACCATAAACACAGACCAAAGTGTAAGTGCGTCTTCACCTGTGCTCGTAGAGGAATCGTAGTTAGCAGCAAGAGGCAGCAAGTTCAAGTTGGGTGATCATGAGAGACATGTGTCAATGTCACGTGGTGAGACCATAACAACCAAAGTTACCAAACAATACACGCACTTGAGACGCGTCTGTGCCGTTCACTTGATCACCACAACATTGTGAAATGAAGTTGGGCACCATCAAGCACTGTCACAAAGTTGTGGTAACTAATTGAACGGCGATATCGTTGGTAAAATTATGTTGTACAGTAATTTTCTAATGTAATATAACGCTGTAATAGTACTGTCAGTTTCAGCTACCGTAAAGGGATAGAGCTTCTCAACGTACAAAAAATTGAAGCATCTGATGAGCCTATTTTTGGGATAAAACTATTGAGAAACCCCGTTTCTGCGGAGACCCCCAGGGTTTCCGAGGCTTTGGAGAAACCCTTGGCTTTTGTGAAATTTAACTTCCGGCCATAATCCGGCTGATCCAGTCGTGCGGCGGCTTACACAATAGTCGAGCCTTCCCACATAAATACTTTGTAAATACTTACTAGGACTCCCAATTCTTTCTTGACACTACACTATGTAGATATTTAGGGTTAGCCTCACTCTTGCAAGACGCAGCCCTCATTTTCAAAATGAGTATATCTATTGTGGGGGACACCAAGACATTTTGTTTGTGCTTGGAAGTTGCAAGTCCAAATTGTCATTTACCAATACACACTACGACACAACCCAGCTTCACCAGGACATTTCTAAAATGTGTGGGTGAATCAACATTCAACTTGAACCATCGAGATGAACAGAGGAACAAGGAAATGACCCCAGCAACCCAAATGAAATGTCAGAATGGCCACAAGGCCCCATCTATCAGGTAACCCAAGGGGGTGGCGGAACGTGGATCCCGGATATAGGGTTAGGGGGGGGGGCTCCACTTGGGGGTCGAAATATTTTTTGTGACCTACTTTGCAAAAGTCCTGCCAATAAGCCAAATCATGCTCCCCAAAGAAGTTGGGAAGTTCAGATGCATGGCAAACACTTAATCTATGTATTTACTGTCCGAAATTTTGACTGAGAGCAAAAAAAAAGTCAACAAACTTTTTTATAACACTGCTCAGATTCGCAAAAAGTATGGCAAAGAAGAAGTAAGTCCCTATTTTAGATATATATTCTAATGCAATACTGTATTACAGACAAGTGTCAGGGTTTACGAGCGACACCAAGCTTTGTTGCCCAGAATGTGAGAAAGAGATTCCTGTTGGAACAGGCAGTCAAGCAAATCTGCAGCAGCATATCGACTTGTATGGATACTATGGGGGTGAAGTGTTGTTGCATGTAGTAACAGATCCAAAATGTAACATAAGTACTACATACCTACTTGAGTATGTTTTTGACATAGGAACTCGGAAGTTTCCTTTTTTGGGGGGTAGGGGGGGTAGACTGAGGGTGCCTTAATTTGTAATGCGACTGTATATCTAAAATCCACGTTCCGCCACCCCCTTGAGGTAACCATGCAACCGTGAACTGTCGTTGTGCAGAAGGCTATGCATAGCAGGTAAGTATGATTACATTCGGAAGATATTTCAAATTACCTTGGGAGTCTGGGACCTCGTCGGTGAGCATTTTGAGTCTTGACGGAAGTCTGGAAGAAGACTTGCTTTGTGTTATTGCAATATTTGCAGTGCTGTAGGAACACTATTCGGTGCACCGTGATCAGTTGTTTCATTGATTGGTTTGACTGTGGACGGCATTGTGGGGTATGAGTATTGAAGGACAGAAACTTCGACAAGTTTTTTGTAACACACAGTAAGGAGGATTGGAATTTGAATGACAACTGCCATCCCAGGTAATCGGGCATCATCAAGTCCAACATCATTCGCTCCCTTCCACCTTGTACTAGTTGCATGGGGTGCTGGCAGAGCAGATTGCGGATTGGGGGTGCACTTAAGCCTTACGTTGTACTGTACTAATACGACCAACTGTTCAGGCCCCTTGGGGTGTGACACCTTTTGACCATCTCTTTGTCGCTTCATTGTCCTGTGTGATGTGTGACGAAGAGTTTTTGCTCTTCATCCACCACTATTTCTCAGATGGTTTGGCCCAGTGACCTGTCAATTTTTTGGCTGGAAGGTAAGCATGCATTCCTCAAGTATGGCATGGTTCTAAATATGTCAAATGTGATGCTTAAGAAAGGCACCACAGGTCCAGAAAAGAATGACTATTTTTAATTCAAAGAAAAAACTCTTCAAAACTTGGTGTGATGCATGACATCACGCCTACTTCCCTTCCTTCACAACCGTTTGTGATGCTCAGTAAAAAGCAAAGTCAATGAAAATCATAGCAAGTCAGAGGTTAGTCAGAAATATATAACACATCTGTCATTTTCATGCCTCCCTCCCCTTGGCATCAAATGGGAGGTGAGTTTAGTTGTAAGTTAGTATCAACATTGTCATACCTTTTATATACATGGCTATGTCAAGAGTCTTTGTCTACAAATTGAGGGCATGAGGCTGCAGGCTGTGGTGCTTTGGACTTGGAGCTGCTGAGCGTTGAAAGTCACATGATCACTCAACTCGACATGTTGGAACTTGAAAGTCTTGAACTTGAACTTGTCACTTTCCTCCTTGCACAAAGTCTTTGACCTCATCTCTTCGGCTGGGCAACAATAAGTTCATTTTATTGCTGTCTACTCATTCTGCTATAGCTTGCTCATCAGACTTATTACCTCCTCCAGATGTTTGCAAAATGATTCCTTCAAGAATTGAGAAGTGCAGCGCGTTGCAGAGAGTAAGTCCCCTAACTCAACATTATGGGTACCTAATTTGTATTCCTCACACTCTACTATGTCCAACATGTCTCAGTCACCAAGGCACATGAGGAGGAGGGGGCAGGCAAGTCGTTGGATGGAACAGGGTGGATTGTGGTTACAGGCTTGCAGGTGAGGCTCCTTCATATGGTATTCATCTCAGCTGCTGACCAATGAAAATGCAATGGCGATGCTTGACGAAGAGTGATATTAGCCTAGGTCTAGTGACAACACTCTTTTGCTGGATGTCCCACCATCACCACCACCAAAACATGATGAGCACAGATACTCTTTGCCCGATGACAACAACCATATTCTTGATGCCTCCTGCTCAAATCCAGGTGACACATCCATCACCTCCCTCCCCATTTCCCGTGCAAATACATGTTGGATCTACCACTCGATGGTGTCGTTGGAACCTTCAAATGGACTCGATGTGTTGCAGAGAGGCCTTGTATTCTGACATTATCCTGAGTCCTTATGCCAGTACTCTGGACCTGAGTGTTCTATACTTAGCCACTACATGTATCCTCTAAAGTGGTCAAATATAATTTATTCAGCCTATTTCCTATCTTGAATTGGGCCCAAGCATCAATGACTGAGATATGACTATTGTATGACTGGTACATGACTGAGGCATAGACTAATGTATGACTATTGTAGTACGAGGATAGTCAGAAACACTTAAAAAAAACGACATTTAGTCAGACAACCTCTAATTGATGACTTTCTCATGACTAACATGCGACTTTGCTATTTACTGAGTGTGATGTGTGATGTGAAGACGTGGTCATATAGTACAGTATACATACACTTGAGGCAGGGCCTAATAAATAATCAGGACAAATGGACCTCCTTAATTGTGGCCACTTGAAAAATAATGAAGTGAATGTGCATCCTGAAAACATTAATTCTCAAAATTAGAAAATAAAGAACAATAAGAACTTCAACCACATTTAATTTGCATATTTAAACGATGTCTTTGAGAAATAGTCTTGGTAGCCATGGCAACACCACTCAGCTGAAGAATATGTTAAAGAATAAAATAATGGAATTGGTCTGTCAATATGGCTGATGTTCTTATTGTTCAACAGTTTAAAATTTTGTTAATCAATGTTTTTGGCATACACAACAGCTTTATTATTCTAGGAGTGTCGACAATTACAGAGGTACCTTTGCCTAGATCAAACATTGGACCCTGTCTCAAGTGATACATGTTGCTCAAGAATTTGCCTTCGCATATGCCACAACAAAGTTAGTGATGCAGCCACTCTGAGGTAATTCGTGGCTTGTGGAAATCTAGATTCTAATTATTATAAAGGTAGGTTAAGTTCAAGTTAAGTTGACCCAAGGGACAAATTGTGAAGTACTTACATGGTGCGTCTGGCATTATCTCCTTCATCGTGAATGAATTAACTTCGCAGTCCGGTATTGCTTGCTTACTTGCTCGGAAATATGTAATTCTCACTACAGAATTATATGAAATTTATGTACTGACCAATCCTGTCATGCTCAAAAGCCGATTTGAAGGGGCCGACGTCCTTAGCATAGTACCCCTCTTGTATGAGCAGACTTGTCACTCATCTAATACCTAGATATTGGCATGGCCGTCAAGTCTTGACCTTGCATGAATGCATGTCTACGACCCACAGTAGACTCAAAGCAACAAAGTGAGAACATAGGATCTTTCGTCGTTATGGTAGAAGGAACAACGTCGGTGTGCAAGCGTCAAGACGACCTGCGGCTGACGTAACAATGGATGGCTGGAGAGCATGTGACATTTCCGGAGGGGTTTCTTCCAGAAATGGAGGGCATGTCAGTAGGCTTGTCCCCAGCTGGCTTTTTGATTACATAATTGACTCACGTGACTCCTCAATTCGAAAAGCCGGCTGGTCACTCTTGTCGCCATTTTGAGAGGGCGAAAATCTCCCTGCCATTTCAGAGGGGGTCACTTAGTCGAAAAAAGTGTGGAATGATGAAAAAAAGTGCTCAGGGAGGGTATACAAAAAGTGATTTTTGAGAGGCATAGAGTAGATTTGAGTATATAAGTTTTTGTGTAAAATTTTGAAGTGACTTTGTCGTCGTCGTTGATGGGTCTGTGCGCGCAACCTCAGTCCAAGTCCTCATCACTGTCTCCTTGCTCGTTGCTATCCCAATCCATCCCAGGGTCATCCAACACCAAATCATCCATCTCTAATGCCACATCCTCTTCCTCTAGTCGCGTAAGGGTTGGTGAATCAGCAAACAAATCCTTGTCATAAGGATCTTCGCGATCTTCCTCATCCTCTGAGTCTGAAGTTATTGCCAACTGGGGTAAGCCTTCGTATTCGTCTTCCGAACCTGTTTCGTTGGCTGGTATTTGTTCAGTGATCACAGGGATGGGGACAGCTGTCGAGGATTCAGGGTGATGCGTGTTGGCAGATATTAGGCATAGATTGGAAATAGGCACGAGTTTACGGCGCTCGCAAAGGCTGTCGTACTGAGCATTGAATTCAGCCAGTGGGTTGGTTGCGTTCCCATGAGCAAGTGCCACTAACCCAGTTGAGATGACATTGGGCACGGGGGTATCGTTTGCATCCAAAACCCTGCCGTCTTTCACAACATAGACTTCGTGCTCATTCAGAGCATCCATCAGGGTTTGAATGTCCTTATGTAGGTCAGGAATTGTGTGCTTTGATCCCAGCTGAGAACCTAATTCACTGTGAATCTTCTTCGCAACTCGCCGCAAGACATCAATACACAGAGAAACAAGAGAAAGCCAATCCCATGAATGACCGTCACTGTCGGCCTTGTATACTTTCTGTTGGAAGGTGGTAGCATCACAACATCATCAGCCGAACAGAGAGGGGCTCACCTTAATCCAGAAGTTGAGATGTTCCTGCACAAGGTCAATCTCAACGAAGGTATTAGCCTTTCCTGTAGGGTTAAGTAGCCAGTTCTGAACTATGATTTTTCTGGGAGAGAATGCTGGATGTAAGTGCAAGCTTGAATTGACTCTGCATGGATACATTACACATACCGAAGTTGAGATGTCCAAACATTGACGAGATTGTGAAGGAGGTGCAGCATTTTGTGTGCATATTTTAGCCATCCACTTCCCCAGTATGCAAAGGACCAAAGCTTGAGCACCAAGATAATAAGGCCTGAGTCACCAGATTTGATTGTGTCTGAAAAGAGTCGTGTGAGGAGAGCATCACACATAAACAAACTTGCATTCTCGAACACCATGTCACCTTTTGGAATGTGTGGAAGGGGAACTTCTTGGGGTTTCTTTGACTGCGCTGTTGCTTCACTTTTGGGCAGAATGTCGCTCTTTTTCTCTGCTTTCTTTTCTGCATCTGGTTTGCGTTCCTTGACAATTCTTGGTTCTTGAAGCTCTTGGACTCGATCAGCATTTGCGTATGTCTCCAGAATTTTGTGTGCATGGATACACATTGCTTCCCACGTCAGCTTCTTGCTGATGTATTCTTCTAGGGTGCTTGTTCCAGAGACTAGCAGGAGACAATGGAGGATGCAGGCATAGAGGGACACCATACTCAAATCACGACAGACATGAAATGATGGGAGGGAAGTCAGGACAATTGGGATCTGGTTGAGGCAAGTGTTGTGAAATGCGAGGCTTCCTGGACTGCGAGTTGATGATTTTCCAAAGTGAACTTGGAGGAGGCCATGACAATCGGCGATCTTTGCATGAAACAACCCAGGCATGAGTACGATATGTTTCCATGCATCAGCTCCGCTCTCATGACCCACACGTACATTCAGAATTGATCGCTGTCTCGCAATAGTCAACTGATCGCCAGCGATGATCTTGACGTACCACAAGTGGCTACCACCTTTATCATAAAACTAAGGCACTTGCCTGTAGAGCTGTGTGTATAAGTCCACAAGTTTTATGAAAGGCCTTTCATAGGTGTGTCCTGTGTCTTTCTTTCTTATGAGGGCTATGTTCTTTTCATAAAATGTAGGCAAAGACCACAGGACCCTTTCATAACATTTCTTAGGAGCTTTCATAAAAGCTTTCATAATTATTATCATGCACTTTCTATGAATTTTTCATTGACGCTGTTGAGTTCTTTCATTGTACTTTTCATAATTAAACCTGTGCGCTTTCAATAGGTATTTCATACACTGGGTTAGGTGTATTCATTGCCTTTTTCATAATTAATGGTGTGCGCTTTCATTGAATATTTCATTAGGAATTTTGGATGCTTTCATTGTTTTTTCATAATTAATGTTGTGCAATTTCAATAAATATTTCATTCCCTATGTTAGGTGTATTCATTGCCTCTTTCATATTTAATGGTGTGCGCTTTCATTGAATATTTCATTAGGAATATTGAATGCTTTCATTGTACTTTTCATAATTAATGTTGTGCAATTTCAATAAATATCTCATTCCCTAGGTCAGGTGTATTCAATGCCTCTTTCATATTTAATTGTGTGCGCTTTCATTGAATATTTCATTAGGAATATTGAATGCTTTCATTGTACTTTTCATAATTAATGTTGTGCAATTTCAATAAATATCTCATTCCCTAGGTCAGGTGTATTCAATGCCTCTTTCATATTTAATTGTGTGCGCTTTCATTGAATATTTCATTAGGAATATTGAATGCTTTCATTGTACTTTTCATAATTAATGTTGTGCAATTTCAATAAATATCTCATTCCCTATGTTAGGTGTATTCAATGCCTCTTTCATATTTAATTGTGTGCGCTTTCATTGAATATTTCATTAGGAATATTGGATGCTTTCATTGTACTTTTCATAATTAATGTTGTGCAATTTCAATAAATATCTCATTCCCTAGGTCAGGTGTATTCATTGCCTCTTTCATATTTAATTGTGTGCGCTTTCATTGAATATTTCATTAGGAATATTGAATGCTTTCATTGTACTTTTCATAATTAATGTTGTGCAATTTCAATAAATATCTCATTCCCTAGGTCAGGTGTATTCATTGCCTCTTTCATATTAAATGCTGTGCGCTTTCATTGAATATTTCATTATCAATTCTGGGTGCTTTCATTGTGCATTTCATAAATATTTCATTAGCTAGGTTATATGTATTCATTGCTTCTTTCATAATTAATGATGTGCACTTTCATTGAACATTCCACAGCTTTCATTGGGATTTTTCATTGAGTATCTCAATATTTCATTCCAATTTCATATCTGCCTCCAGGGCTATCATTATGATTTTTCATTATATTCCATGATAGCAATAAAATAGCTATTATGGTCCATCCAATGGGTCATTGGGAGGGTGGTCACATGACCAATTTCCAAAAATGGTAAAAAAACAAAAGTTGTAGCTCTTTACCATAGCTTCCTGAATCAGTTGGAATTATGTCCTAAAGTGCTTCCATTGTGGAGATATGAGATAAAAGGTTTTCAAAAGCGCTGCGTTTTTTTTTGTTTTTTGCAATTTTCTATATGAAAAGAACACTAAACAACATGATTTCAACAGATTTAGAAAGCTAAGAGAAGGGGCTACAACTATTGTATCGTGGGAAATTTATCCCAAAAAGGAAGGTACATGCCCTAAAAGGGTAATTGACACTGACAGACTACAAAAGATTGCTGATATACTACAAAAGTAAGTTATAGCCTACAAAGTTTACTAATAGACTACCAAAAAGACTACAAAAGTTGGACATAGACCACAAAGGTCAGACAAAGACTACAAAAATTAGTAGTGTCTGCTTTTTGAGACTACAAAAGTTAGTAGTGTCTGTTTTTTCAGACTACAATGGTTTGTAGTGTCCGCTTTTTTCATTACAAAAGTTAACAGTGTCCGCTTTTTGAGACTACAAAAGTTAGTAGTGACTGCTTTTTCAGACTACAATGGTTTGTAGTGTCCGCTTTTTTCATTACAAAAGTTAATAGTGTCCGCTTTTTGAGACTACAATGGTTTGTAGTGTCCGCTTTTTTCATTACAAAAGTTAATTGTACCTGCTTTTTCAGACTACAATGGTTTGTAGTGTCCGCTTTTTTCATTACAAAAGTTAATTGTACCTGCTTTTTCAGACTACAATGGTTTGTAGTGTCCGCTTTTTTCATTACAAAAGTTAATTGTGTCCACTTTTCTGACATATAGTATGTAGTGTGGTTAACTATGTATATATAGGTCATTGGGGATATGATTGAAGGATTGGGATGAGTTGACATTCTGCCACTTATGAATAGTTGCTTTTGATGTCAGGTCCATGGCTGTTTTTCATACTTGCAATCTGTCATGTCTTTTCACATGAGAAGTCACTATCCTATCTAATCAAAGGGTGTGTGTCACATGAATCCTGGATACACATTGAAAAACAGACAGGACCAACCACCTATTTAATTCACTTTTGGTACCTTTAAATCAATCTACTCAAGGCTGACCCCAGTGGTGAAGGCTTGGACAATGACAACTGGTCTTGGTATTGAAAGACATGACAAGTTGCATTGGTAGGACAGAGAATTTATCCCTCCAAAAAAATCATGTGAAGATTGACTGTGGTCAGACATAGGACAGCAGATACTGATCTGAGTGGAAGGTTGACCAACATCAAAGATAGGATAGTGGCTTCCCATGTGAAAAGACATGACAGATTGCAAGTATGGAAAACAGCCATGGACCTGACATCAAAAGCAACTATTCATAAGTGGCAGAATGTCAACTCATCCCAATCCTTCAATCATATCCCCAATGACCTATATATACATAGTTAACCACACTACATACTATATGTCAGAAAAGTGGACACTACAAACCGTTGTAGTCTCAAAAAGTGGACACTATTAACTTTTGAAATGGAAAAAGCGGACACTACAAACCATTGTAGCCTGAAAAAGCAGACACTACTAACTTTTGTAGTCTCAAAAAGCGGACACTATTAACTTTTGTAATGAAAAAAGCGGACACTACAAACCATTGTAGTCCGAAAATGCAGACACTACTAACTTTTGTAAAAAGCGGACACTATTAACTTTTGTAATGAAAAAACCGGACACTACAAACCATTGTAGTCCAAAAAAGCAGACACTACTAACTTTTGTAGTCTCAAAAAGCGGACACTACAAACCATTGTAGTCCGAAAAAATAGACACTACTAACTTTTGTAGTCTCAAAAAGCGGACACTACAAATCATTGTAGTCCGAAAATGCAGACACTACTAACTTTTGTAAAAAGCGGACACTATTAACTTTGGTAATGAAAAAACCGGACACTACAAACCATTGTAGTCCAAAAAAGCAGACACTACTA